TCGCCCATGCTGCCCACATAGGCCCATGTATAATTAGCTGTGCACTTTGACAATAGCATGCGTCACGTGTCTGGCCACAGCACTTGTTCTCTGTTTGACTGTCTGGTTTAGCCTGATCTTTCGTGCGATTCGGATAAGGCATTCCATGGGACCGGCCGTCGAATCCGACCTGTAGAGTCGGCCCCTGGCGAACAAGATTCCTAAGTGGCCTTCGACTCGTGTCCTTCAACCAGGCAACAGAGCTAGATCGAGGACAACAGCACTGCAGTCATGTGGTGGGAGATAAAAGGTGTTCTAAACCACTTCAACCGCCTCCTACCACAGGCTGTCATAAGGCATACGGACTGTTTCGTCCCAGGTGGTTTTCGTATTTCGCCTGAAAGGTCGTTTTCGAACTGCGGCATTCGCTCGTCCTATATCCACACGACACAACACTAATAATAGTAAATGAAACCAAACCGGCTGACAGGTATTGTCGTCCCTTGATGAACGAGATTCCTAAGTGGCCACCGACCCGTATCCTTCAGGTAGACAACAAAATCAGCTTAAGTACAGCAGCAATGCATTCATGTGGCGCACGATAATAGATGTTCTAAAACCACCTCAACTGCCTTGCCTAGATTGACTGGAATAGTCCCCCCCAATCCCCTACAGGTTGTCGTAAAACACATGGATTGTTTCGTCTACAGTATTGCAAAACCTGGTAGTTTCGCTCATCTTTTGCCCCCACGATACGAAATTCATAATAGTAAACGCAAAAAACGGCTGAATTCTCACACATCTGTGACTCTGCATGACCATTGTGATTTTTTGACGAGTGAATGGATAGCCTACAACGTATGAGGGCACTGTCTTTCATTTTTATCCAAGCAGCCTGACTTTGGGGATGATTAAGCCTGTCTGTTTTTAGTTTACCAGTATGCAACGCCCCCGAGCGCATCGAGGTTCCTAAATAGCGTAGCTTCCTTCTGATTAGGGCAGGTGTTTAGTTGTTCGTCTGCGTCAGTTGTCTTCTGGTTGTGTCCACGTGCTGTTATTCCACTAGAACGCACGATCATGGTAACAGTCATTCTTAGAGATGAGAAACCGAGGCGAATGATAACATGCATGTATTGTTTGCGAATATGACAGTTCGACCGTCGATTTCGACGATATCCACTATGAGCTTCAAGGAGTTGAATCACGCGGTGAATTCCACAAGATGTACAGCCAGGCAGACTTACGAAGAATTTACTCCACTCTCTGACCACTCCCGCACTGGGAACCGGTTGTAAAGACAGAGTCTAGGAGGCCGCAAATGCGTGTGCGACCAACACTCAACACGCGTACCAACAGCACGTCTCGCTAGGTAGACTCCCAACAGGGAGCGCCATAAAGGCCACATTAAGAAGTGGCTATTGAATCTGCTTCTCAGCCTGTAGACAGCCACTACACACAAGAAGATACACACTGGGCCGACTGCGGTGTCCGAGGTTCAATCTCACTCTCTCCCCCATCGCCAGCAACAGGCCACCGCCTAGCTGTCGGCTGCCTGAGGCGTGATGGGCGCAGCGCTGAAAAGGAAAACAGATAGGAGATGAGCTTGGTAAAGCAGGTTGTGCAAGGGAAGAGGAAGAAGGAGAAGGAGAGCAAAAGGCAATAACGAGGGAAGGAATAAAGAGGAAGGGAAAAGGCTTATGAATACACCAGGATGGTCATAAACTTTCATACAAGCGATCATGCATAACTCAAGAATACAGTCAAGGGGGGGGAGGTGGAGCTTAGGGCTGCCTCCGGGGGAGGGAACACTCTGTGGGGTCCTCGCTGAAAGGGCAGCTGTTACGCACATCTATCTACAGGGGAGGGTGTGGCTAGAGACCGCCACCAGGGAGAGGACGACCAATATACACCTTAGCTGCGAGGACACACCCACCACACTATCCTTGACTAGACTCGAAGTAACCGCGCCGACATATTTAAACAAGGATCAATTCCTTTGTCCTGGTGGATCCTAAAATTATAATAAAAAAGAAACTGGTATCAATCGCAGGAGTAGATGCACCAGAGTATCAGCTCCACAACAAACCAGCTGAGTAACAAACTGGCTCACTCGGAACTATTGTACATTCTTTAGACCATGGTAGTTTGACGTTATCGTCCAGGCTTAAATTACTTGGCCCACATTTAAACTCTCGATGTTGTCTACGGTATGTAGATTTTTTTTTAATAGAATAAGCACAACAACCTGTGGCCAACAAGTCTGTTGCTTCTGACCTTATCGTAAGCTGACCTGCTACGGAGACGATATTTTGTGTCAGATTGACTTGTCCGGTTGGAAGAAGTCAGCTAACAGCGAAGGCTTTATTGCAAGTGTTAATTAGTTATTGTGCTCTTTCGGCATTTTTCAATCAGCCTTCTTCCCTCCCCCCTTAAAATGGCCCTGGTGTGTATACTACAGTCGTTGGCTCCATGTCTCAGTTGTAGTGTGTTAGTTCTTAAAGCCCGTACCTTATCCTTTCAGGTCTGCCAAAATAGACGGGAAGTTGAAAACCAGCGCGTCTCAAGACGTTCACTGTTGCGTTCCTTCAGCCGCAACCTCTCCTGGTTTCCCTTTAAAACCGGTCACCGCAGCAACTCACCGTCATCTCCCGTTGCGAACCCGCGGCCACGGTCCAAGCCAACCGATCTAGATGTTCAGACAGTATGTGGGGCCCCACCCCAACCCATCGAGGATCCGAACCCGGCTGCTCCACGGATTCCTTTGTCCTGGAACTCGAAGACCAGTGCTGTCCAACCTCCCCCAAATAGAAACCCTTTTTCAAACCAAACAACAAGTCCCTTGCCAGGAAGGTGATATTTACATTCAGTCATTCGTCTGCCGATGGATGACCCTCCTTCTACATGCAAGCCCGGTGCAGACACGGAGAGGAGGACACAAGCAAACATCGTGGTATCTGGTGGATGGGATAACTACCTCCTCTGTGCAGCCGCCCTGTGCAGAATGGACTCCGGTTTGAGAGGGAGTTCAGGTCGCCATCATCCTCCAGACCATATCGGTCTCAACAAAAAACCATCAACTATTGCCGGCACTAACACCGACCTTGACACTGTGCGCTTGCACGACGGGGACCCAGAAAGTAGTTTAGTGGATCTGCCCAGAGACCAATACTACACATAAACACACATACACACTTTGTAAATCTACCTCCAGACATCTGCTCAGAATAATAATGATCTCAATCCGTTTGCACTGACATTTGGTCGAGCAGGCAATAACTGCCCGCGCGTCCTAATGTCTATCTTCTTCTGTTCTTTCCTCCCACAAACAGTTAGAAAATGCGCATCTGGACTCCGCCGCCCCCCCCTCCTCCGCGTTACCAAGCACCTTTTGTGTTGGTCATATTATTTTTTATATTCTTTTAAACTATCTCTCTCTCTCTCTCACACACACACACACAGGGTAACTGCATTCCACTCACAAACGCCTAACCTGCCCATTCTTGCCTTGCATCTTGAGCTGAATAAAAACAAATTATCTGCCTATTCCGTGTTGTCTTCAGCCCTTTCTTTTAGCAGAAGGAATTTAACCTTGTTAAATTTGCTTCGGGCCATTACATTTATATAGGGACGGGGGTAAAAAGTAACATGCCGACAATTATGTTCATCGTTACAGGCAAATAAGTCATAGAAATAGGGAAGGGGTGGGGTTCATAGTACTCGGTTGGTTGCGAGGCAATGAAGGTTTGTTGAATCCGGACAGGGGGGGAGGGGGAGGAAGCTCGGAAAGATGCGGACAGTTACGTAACCATTGGCCATGCCAAGCTCGGGGCTTGCAGGAGGTGCTTTTGCGTGCACAAAACCGGCTTCCTCAACCGGATTGCAGTTGCTTCTGCTGTTGCTAGCAAACGCTCACCCAGAGACTTTGGGTAGCTTGACGGTACCTTATAAATTACCTCAAAGGCTTCGCCGGGGTGCACACGATGTCCGGAGTCAAGAATGTGGGCAGGTATGGTGCTGTTGATGTTTCTGACTTCAATTTTGGGCAGCCATTCAGCGATGTGCTCCCGTATACTTTTGGATAAGCGCCGACTCGTGCGACCGATATAACCTGCTCCGCAGGAGCAAGTAAATGAGTTTATGCACATAGAATTGGTCTGAGCTGGCAGCCTACCCTTACCTTCGCCGTGCAGGACCGGTTGGTTGAGAATAACACCCGAATTTTCGCTGCTGTCGGGATTGAAGAAACCTTCATGGCCCCGCAACCAGCCGGGTACGATCAGTGCCATCCCCTCCCCTTTTTCCATGACTGATTTGCCTGCAATGATGAACATATTTGCAAGCATTTTACTTTTACTTTTAATCTACGTATGCTCGCCAGATATTCTTCGGAATACTCTGATGGGAATTTTTGCAACTTTAACCTTGTTGGTATCCGGTTTACCCAGATAATCCGAAGTAGTTGGTTGGAGCCTTGCTTGCGATCAATGATCAGTCCGCTGTTTGATGTGGGAAGGCCAGCAAGCGTACTGACTCACCTACAACTACGCTGACCGCAGAGGGGACGAAGGTCATATAAACCCACCAGCAGCCAACCTCCGGGAGACCAAATGTGATCGGCAACGAACGGGAAGGTCAAAGTTCACACGCCCAGCACGGGTATAATACGAGGCAGGCGGCGAGACTGGCTCACTCAAAACCACCGGATGCATCATCAACAACAATACTCTAAAGGTGGAAGCGAGAAAGGTTCCCAGACGTTAGTTCAGATATAGTTTGGTACACGAACCCGCCCCATTTTCTTTGGGAGACAATGAGCGCGATATGCAGTCCTATAATTTGAAAAAAAGATTGCAGTTTCGCTTGGAGCGCACAGATTCCCTAAGTTTATTATCTGCTTTATGAATTTGTTAGAACATGACCAGTTTGAGAGAACACGACTTGATTGTTATTAAGGCAACGCAGTCTGTGTAGTTGAAGATATCTGACAGGTTACGATACGAGGGTGACAATGTGGGGCCTCAGCCATGATGTACGTGTTTCTACACGAGGCTGCCCGCAGTGGTAGTTTTTATATGAAGTCATCCATACAATCTGCGGCACTAGCCTGTGTGCGAATTGCAGCTTATGATCAGAAATTTGCTTCTTTGAGCGCCACCGGCTTTTTCCGAGTCCAACTGGTATGCGGACCGCGGTCCTTAGATGGTCTAATAACTGATAGAAGCGAATATACGAGTTCTAGGATGCAGTTCGGAAGAAAATGCGATGACTGGAACAAGAATCTTATTTGCCTAGCTTTTTGGACTCTGTCGAGAATCCTTAATCATAGATAACCGTAAAATGTGTGCCATATGCACATATTTGGGTGATACATGCGCAAATTGCGCGGTATTTATAGTTCTTTGCGGCTATCTGCATGCGTACTATAATTATCAGCTCCTGGAACCACCACTTGGGGTATTAATTGGTTCGGTGAGGGCCTGAAATTTCGCTTTCGAGTCATTAATGGCGGTGATTTCGTTGTCCGTGTCGGATGCAGGCTTGGTAATTGCGCGAAAATTAGGCTCGCTGTCGTCAGAGGTGTTGTTGGGTCCGGCCCTTCCCACGTGATCGATTCTCTTGCTCAGCCAATGTCCCAGTTCGCAGTACGGGAACGGCAAATCGTTGCGCTTTTTGATGGACTGGGGGCCTGAGAACGGTGACTTGAGCAGCTCGCGGCTCACGCGGTTGGAGAGCCTTGCGAGTATTTCGGCCTCATTAAACTTGAAAATATTGCCGGTCCCGTCGAGTGAGCTGAAACCTAGGGGTTAGCGTTATCACAGGGGGTTAAGCAAGTTAAACCCTAGCAATTGCCACCTTCAGACCATGGTTACTTAGTAGATGAGAAGTCATTGGAGGCCAGAATAGA